TGGAGTTGCAGTTAAAAGTTCATCCCCGGACGGCAGCGAAAAAGAACCCTCAGACAAGAAGAACTTCCAGCCCAAGTAGACGAAGAAGAAGATTGCCTGAAAGCCTGAGAAGAATTGGAGCTGCAGACAAAGACCGAAAGTCGATGAGAAGTTAAAGTTCATCCCCGGACGGCAGCGAAAAAGAACCCTCAGACAAGAAGAACTTCCAGCCCAAGTAAACGAAGAAAGAAGAAATACAACTCAAGTCGGAGAGAAGAATCAACTGCGAATGATCGATAGAAATTAGCCCCAGTGTCGAACTGAACCACACTCCGACATACATAATTCTATTCTAGAAAGTAGGTAATTCGACATTTTTAGGTTGTGTGATAGAAGCTTGGTGCCATAGTCCACAGAGCGGGTCGGGAATTGAGAACAATTTTGTTTTTATGTAACGGACTTTAATATAAAAAGGTTGTTACCCTTTTTATCAACAATTTTGTTTGGTGTCGTGAGTTTTTATTTTATTTGTGTTTTGCCACCCCCGTCGGACTCAACTTGTATCGGCCCCGATCCCTGCTGGTCCCGTCTGTCTAAGATCTAAACACAGCGTGGGTAGACAGACCGGAGATCGGTATAGTTGCTTTAGTGACCAGGTATTGGAAGCGAGTCGGGAAAGGCGAGGCTGGTGATCATCTGACCAAAGGGTTGGAGCGGCACGCTTGGACCCAGGAGGAGCGACCAGGAGGAGCGACGTCACCGTTGGCGCCGTAACCAAAGGATCCGACACTGGGCCAGGTGTGTAACCGTCACATGTGTAATTGAACTCAATCTTCAATATGCACCTAACTCATGTGACCTTATGTAAACGAAGAATGGACTTAATTTCTTCATAACCTTTCCCTGTTGTCAATGGCCAGTTTTTTAAAATACTTTGTGGCTCAGAAGCGTATCTATGGAAAATTTCGTCGATGGCAATGTATCAGGTCATCCCATAAGTTCTGTCCGAATTTCGAATAAAGAAAACAAGTGACCAATTATTACATTTAATTACAGATTCAATCAACAATGTATTTTCCCCGATTATCTATGACTTCCTTCCATCTATTAACAAGCTTACTAATTCCATTACTGTAAAATTCTTTTGGCTTTGATTCGAAGAACTCACAAATGTCAGTTTTAGCCTCTTCCTGTGTTACAAAAGCTGTTTCTTCCAAATGATTCTGTAAGCTACGAAACAAATGATAGTCTGAAGGAGCAAGATCGGGGGAATAAGGTGGATGAGGAATTTTCTCCCAACCAAGTTCTTCGATATTTTGTGACGTGAATCTTGCTGTGTGGGGTCGCGCATTGTCCTGATGAAACATCACCTCTTTTGGATTCACTAGATCAGGTCTTTTTCCTCAAAGCTTGGTGCAAACGCTCTAATTGATGACAGTATATTTGAGCATTAATTGTTGCATTAGGTGGTAAGAATTCAAAGTGGATTATTCCTTGGTGATCCCACCAGATTAAAAGAACCTTTTGCCCATGAAGTTCCCTTCTCGGCTGTAGCTGGGGTCCTTCCCCTTTACCAAGCCACTGTCTACGACGCTTAACATTTCGATAAAAGATCCATTTTTCGTCGCCAGTCACAAGTCTATCCAAAAAAGGTGAAACAAGTTGGCGAGAATGGAGAGAAGAGCAGATGTCATCTCGGGATTTGAGGTTGTTTTCAGACAAATCATGAGGCACCCATTTTCCAAGTTTAGGAATTTTTCCAAGTTGTTGAAGATGATGATGAACAGTTGTATGGTTTGAACTGAGAACCACTGCCAATTCCTCAACTGATAAAGCAGGATTTTCTTCAAGAGCTGCTTGCTTTTCATCAAACTCAACTGGACGTCCGGTTCGATATTCATCTTCAAAGGTGAAATCTCTACCTCTGAATTTTGCAAACCATCTTCTGCAAGTTCTTTCATTCACACATTCCTCTCCATAAACTTCGGCTGCTGAGTTTCCTTTCTTGAACTCGTAAAGCATTATGTGCCTCAAATGATTCTTGGGTACTTCCATGTTAGCAGGGTTTTAATGAAACAAAATTTAATTTTATTGTTCTCTGAAATAAAATTTGATCAGTTTAAATGCATCTAAACATAAAAATAATGTTCAGCTCCATTAGACGTTATAAAATACTCTTTAAATTTCGTTCATTTTAACAAAAAGTGAAAATTTGGACAGAACTTATGGGATGACCTGATACTAAAATCGAGCACTTATCGAAACATCTTATAGCTTACCAAAGTGCAAATTAGACTTACTAATTTAAAAATACAAGTCAAGACAATATAGATAAGAAATAATGCTATTTAAACACGAAGATGATGTTTTATTTTTTTTATATTTTACTCGAAGTTAATTTAAATTTTAACAATATAATGATATCACATGTATATATTCTTTTACCAAATTAGAGTAACATAATTAAAACAAGACTTTTTAAAATACATGACTTCAGACTATATACACGCTTTAATTATCATCCAAGATGGCACTCATGACACGTACCCTATCTGTCTTACCCTAAATACGCCATTGTTGGGGATTAATAATGAGACTATATTTATATTAATAAATTCCGGATAAAAATAAATTTCTCCCCGCAGCTATTGGTTAAATAGAACAACAAATTGGATTCTCTAGCCTTGGTTAGGAGAACTTTGAGTTCAAAACCAGTTGGGTGTTGTGCCTGCAACTCCAAACGTAAAAGCCTGTTTTCCACAGCAGCAACATCTAGGGAGTGAATCTGTGGTTTTATTCTTTACACAAAAAGAAAAATGTCAAAAGCAATAAATATTACATTACACTCTACAAAGGAAAAAAATGTTATATCTGTAACATTTAGTATGTTAGACTTTACAATTTAAAATAGACAGACACTGCTTTTTTTATTGACTCTAGGTTACCCCCATATACGAATAGTTCGCTAAACGAACAAGCTGAATAATGAACAAGAAAACTAAATTCGGTTAACGAGCAGAAATGAAAACAACGAGCCGCAATTAAGTTAGATATACGAATAAGTGGCTAGGAGCGACCTCAACGCCGACCCAGTCTCCATCTTGCACTCATTTCGTGTCGTAAGGTGTGAACTTGTAAACATGAACCGATAAAAGCTAATCAGACAACCAATTATCGTAAAAATTAAGAAGGGAGTAATTTCTAAAGATGAAAGTGGAACAAGTGTTGGCAAAATCATTACCTATTTTCTTCCCTCAAACAGCTACTTTGTGGAATTAACACCCGAGGGAATGCTCTCTGAACCACAACATCCTTAACCACTTCAAGTCTGAGATTAACCGTTATCTTTACCACAGATATTTTTAAATCATTTCACCCCAAGCAAGGCAATAACGACCCTAAGACGCAAAGGCTACTGACTGTTCAAAAAATAAAAGCAAAAGAATATTATTAAGAAAATATAACAATAAAATAACTGGAATTAAGAAGACGGTAGATAATGTAAATGTATAGCCGAAAGCGCTCGGATAAGAAGAACAATTTGAGCAGTTTTTATAAAATTTATCACCTGAAAAGAAAAATATATTATTAGATCACATGAGAAATTGTATAAAAAAACTAAATCAAAGCCCCTTGTCTGTCTTATTCAATGAAATTTGCATGAATGAAGGATTGCTGCCTAAGTACAAAATATACATACATATGTATATATATTTCTGTAGTACCAGCAAGCAGAAATATTTCTTCTCCCGATGATGGCCATTTTAGTCGAAACTAGTCGAGGAATCTAAATGAAATAATAATAAAAAAAACGAAAGAATATTAATCTACAACCCAGTTTCAGTTATCTGTTTGGATTGGTATTGCTTTTATGTCCATCGTCTTTTTCATGTTGAATTGTATATGGTCTATGTTAATTATGTTTTATGAATATGTCCTGAAGATGGTCTATTAGACCGAAACGTCCGACGTTGACATTAAACATTAAAACAGCATAATCGCATATTGGATTTTTGTTTGTTTTTTCAGCATATTTTTCTTCATACTGTTGGATCTATATCCATATATTTGCTTACATATATATATCGAGAGAGATAGATAGATTTATCGGATTTCATCCATTACATGTAATATGTTGTCATTGCTTACGTTAAGCTACGTTCGAGAGTAGAAATGAATTACGGAGAGAGATCGTCAATGATGCGTGTTTATAAGCAGTAATTCGAGCTTTACTAAGTCCAATATATATATATATATATATATATATATATATATATATATATATATCCTATTTAATTTGTGTTTTTTTTCCTTTTCCTATGTCCTTTTATGGGGAGTTTGAACGGAGTCCGAACAGTTTACACCTAACCTGTTCAAGTTATCACCCCCTCCTATCGGTATAAACTGCACCTTAACATAGACCTCTACCTCGAGAGTCCTCAGGCACATGTCCAGAACATATTATCATCGTATATAGACAACCGTACTACTTTTAGTTTTATCTATTTTTCATATATTTTTATGCAGAGTTGCGTTGTGGCTTGAAACGAATTATACTTATTTATATATATTTTTATTACTTATGTCTCGAGCAAAGCTCCAGAATGGCTTAAGTTTGCATATAGAGACCCCACTATACCAGTCTAGTGCTTTGTGTTAATATGGTGATTTTCCAAGCGTGGCTTAGATGTGGCAGAAGGCCGAGAGAATCGAGCACTAGTGAGGAACTAACACGCTACTCAATCGTAATTGATCCAGTGAGACGAACCTGTTAAACATAACACCACATTAGAGTTCTCAATGGGGATTTTCTAAGCGTAGCTTTGATGTTGCACAGGGCCTAAAGTATGGGGTACCCAGTGAGGATCAAACTCACTACTCAGTCGTAATTGATTTAGCGACACAAGCTTGCTAACCATTAAGCCACACTAACTGTTAATATGCCACTAGATTGTGTTAATATGAATGTAAATGAAGTATTATATTTGATCACAATGGTAAAATAGACAAGGAATTCTTACCTTTCTGGGTCAAACGTTTCAGGATTTAGCCAAAGTTTGGGATCGTCGTGTAAACATTGGATTGGAATGTGAATCACAGCGCCTGCTGGAATCTGTACCCCTTTGATTGTACAATCGTTTTTGCATTGTCGAACAATACTGAAATAAAACATTATTGGATGACATATAACAACATCTTAAAATCATATTATATTCCTTCATTCCTTAGTTAGTTAGTAAGCACTTGCGTTACGCACTGTAATAGCTTGCGAGACCCCTGCCCCCCAAATTTAGTTTGTCTATCCCCTACACACACACACACACACACACTTAGCTTACATGTCCCCTTCCTAAAGCTCGATTGGTTCGTCTCCCTCCCTTGGAGTTGGCAACTATTTGAAACGCATCCCATGGAACCTTATTTATAGATAGTGAGAGCTTGTCAACACTAACACCCCCAGTTATGTCAACTTTGAATATATATATATATATATATATATATATATATATATATATATATATATATATATATATATTTCTGAGATAGGTGTTATGCACATTATTTACATTATTCGGACTATTGTCCTTATTTTTGTCATATATTTATCACAACGTTTCGGCCATTGTACGCTCCGGCCTTCTTCAGGTGGTTGGAATGTCGAAATGAACCCTTTATTTCGCTCACTGGGGTAGACTGTTCTAGTTCCACGTGCCATGTTTGAACTTTCAGAGGGAAATTAACTGGAGATAACTGATAACTGACATCCATCAAAGGCCTGAAGCGTACAACGGCCGAATCGTTGTGATAAATATGGCGACAAAGATGAGGACAATTGTCTGAATAATGTAAATAATATATATATACAGACACACACACACACATATATATATATATATATAATGGACTCTCCCGTCGGTTTCCACGTATCAGGATCTGACAGCTTAATTGATTCAGTAAGACCCGCTAATGATTTACAAAGGAGGCTGCATATGGAGCAAGAGTGAAGATTGTGGGATGAGATCACTGTTAGATTGGCTGACCTTTTAAATCTTGCTCTCGCTTCTTGAATATATATATATATATATATATACATATATATATATATATATATATATATATATATATATATATATATATATATATATAATATACAGAGAGAAACATCATAAACATTACGTGTTTGAGAAGCTCCCCAAAATTAACTGATTAAAAAAGAAAGTAGCCAAGGTATAATCAATTGATTCATTACTTTGGATATATGAAGAAAAGCTTTTGCAAATATTTGCCTACTGTTAAATGCGGTGTGGTTGAACATATTATTCACTCTTTTTTCGATTTACAATTTGTAAACAAACTGAAAAAAAATTTCTATCGGAAAATAGTTTTCGCCATCGACTATTAATGATTTCATATTAAAAAAAAATATATACTTACAAAGTTGCGATCGAATATTTCGTGAGAGTCTCATCCATACATTTTTCCAGTAAGGATACTTTTTGGACATTATCATAGCTAGGGGCATCCTTGAAAAAAAGATGAAGTCATTAAGTTTTTTAAAAAAGTCATTTAAAATGTAAATATTTTAGTTACAACCAAAAAAGTCTTTGCCGTTTTTGATTTATTAGGAAAAAAAAAAGTTATACATCAAATTTGACATAACTTTAATCCAATCAATGGTAAAACTATGTGCTGATTTTTCAAGGCAGGTGAGCCTTCCCAACGTGAAACGGAGAGCAACGTATTCCAATCTAATAGGGACTCCTGTCTTCTACTTTTTCGTCTTTTCTTAATGAAATATATTTAGTACATTGGCTCGAACTTTTGATGTAGTTTTCTTCGTTTTTATTTGTTTTGTTGCAGTTTTTTGTGCAGTTCATATGGTATAGCACCTTTGTGTTGTTGTTAAGGATTTGTATGATATCGTGCTGTGGTTTTCCTTTCTGTTGGTTGGTGATATGTGTTTTAATGGAGGCATGGTTAGAAAAGTGACATGTTAAACGGCGCGATAAGGTTGTAATAGTGAAACAATGTATGTGTTTGGAGCAAATTAAAGTTGTAAAATGAAATTAGAAAATATTTGATATTTCAATTTGTTCTGCATTTTCTCAAAGACAATTCAATCCTACCATTTTATGGTCATGCCAATCTAATAGATTCAAATAATAATGGCGCTGCTAATTTCCTAACCAGTGCGTTCTTTCTGTAATCGACAGTTAAGTGTGTCAGTACTCGATCCATCAGAAATCATGACAGTTGTAGGCCAATGAAAGCATCTATAAGTTGCATTTATCGTTCATTGATAAATTCTTGATTTCTTGACTAAATTTCGAAGAAAGAGAAATAAGTCTTACCTGTCCTAAAACGGATTCGATTTGTTCGTATAATTTCTCTTGAACTTCGGGGTTGAGTGCCATACAATGGGCGAAATATGACAACGTCGATGCAGTCGTTTCAAACCCAGCCAAGAAGAACAACACACACTGAGCAATTATTTCAATATCTTTCAAGCCTAAAACACGAAACACGTTCTTAATGTCCCTTAAGGCGTTGCCACAGCTCATCAGGTACTGATGAGTTATCTCCCTTGATCTTGAAACTTAAAAAAAAGAACACAGCGACAAATATTCAAGATGGACGGTCTACAAGTGTTTCAATATCTCCAGCTAATCTCTTGCGATGAAACTAAAACAATGTTATTTACTAATTCATTCAAATTATTATGTTAATATTTATAATGCATTGTTGTACTAATATTAAAATAACGATTGCATAGCCATGAAAACAATTAATAAAGTTAAAATATAGATTGGTATTGAATAGTCTTCATGCGTAATTGATTGATTTGATTTTTACGGCTTATCAACCCTTTGTAAGTTATTTAAAATCAGGAAATATTTTTAGACTATAAGAATATTTTGGATATAATAATGATTTTTTATTTATACAAGTTCTACTAATTAACCGATAGCTAGGAGGGCGGGGGTCAAATAGGTGCACTCCAAAAGGCATTTGCGCGTAAATGAACATAAAGAACCCGACTGGAATTGGACCTCGTCTCACCAATTTCCAATTCTGAACCGTTACCCATTACAGCCGCAGCATATCCAATCTTACAGCACCTGCTATTCTTAAGCGGTCACCCATTTAGGTACTAACTAGATTCGACGTTGATTAATTTCAGTAATCATACAGTGAACCGGTGTTTCAACGTGATATGGCCGTAAGCCGAGATATCACCATGAAAAACTTCAATGGATGCCAGTTAAAAAGACAAAAAACCCCTTCACAATATTTTTCATGCTCTGTTAAATCTACCGACCTTTTGGTGAAAATGCTATTTACACAAAATCCTAAACAGAGTTCACTACATCTGTAGTGATTTAAAATTAGGGCAAGAGACCTGCATATTGAGAAGAATCACTGTTCGTGCTTAGTTTTCATAGAGTGGGTTTACAATGAAATTTGTCGTATGTCCTCCTCGGCTCAAAGATTACTTTAACACATTTTGATCCTTTCGATCACCCTAACCGATTTTGATTCTTCTGATCACCCAAACCCATTTTGATCCTTCAAATCACCCTAACCCATTTTGATGCTTATAATCATCCCAAGCCATTTGGATACTTCTGATCACCCCAACCCATTTTGATTCTTCTGATCACCCTAACCCATTTTGATCCTTCTGACACCATAACCTATTTTGATCCTTCTGATCACCCTAACCCATTTCGATCCTTTTGATCACCCTAACCCATTTTGATCCTTCTGATCACCATAACCTATTTTTGACCCTTCTGATCACCCTAATCCATTTTGATCCTTCTGATCACCCTAACCCATTTTGATCTTTGTAATCATTCCAAGCCATTTGGATCCTTCTGATCACCCCAACCCATTTTGATCCTTCTGATCACCCTAACTCATTTTGATCCTTCTGAGCACTATAACCTATTTTGATCCTTCTGATCACCCTAACCCATTTCGATCCTTCTGATCACCTGACAGATTTTGATCCTTCTGATCACCAAAACCTATTTTATCCTTCTGATCACCCTAATCGATTTTGATCCTTCTGATCACCATAACCCATTTTGATCCTTCTGATCACCATAACCTATTTTGATCCTTCTGATCACCCTAACACATTTCGATCCTCCTGATCACCCTAACCCATTTTGATCCTTCTGATCGCCATAACCTATTTTGATCCTTCTGATCACCCTAACCCATTTTGATCCTTCTGATCACCCTAACCCATTTCGATCCTTCTGATCACCATAACCTATTTTGACCCTTCTGATTAGCCTAATCCATTTTGATCCTTCTGATCACCCTAACCCATTTTGATCTTTGTAATCATCCCAAGCCATTTGGATTCTTCTGATCACCCCAACCCATTTTGATCCTTCTGATCACCCTAACTCATTCTGATCCTTCTGATCACTATAACCTATTTTGATCCTTCTGATCACCCTAACCCATTTCGATCCTTCTGATCACCTAACAGATTTTGATCCTTCTGATCACCTGACAGATTTTGATCCTTCTGATCACCCTAACCCATTTTGATCCTTCTGATCACCATAACCTATTTTAATCCTACTGATCACCCTAACCCATTTCGATCCTTCTGATCACCATAACCCATTTTGATCCTTCTGATCACCCTAACCCATTTCGATCCTTCTGATCACCCTAACCCATTTCGATCCTTCTGATCACCTGACAGATTTTGATCCTTCTGATCACCAAAACCTATTTTATCCTTCTGATCACCCTAATCGATTTTGATCCTTCTGATCACCATAACCCATTTTGATCCTTCTGATCACCATAACCTATTTTGATCCTTCTGATCACCCTAACCCATTTCGATCCTCCTGATCACCCTAACCCATTTTGATCCTTCTGATCGCCATAACCTATTTTGATCCTTCTGATCACCCTAACCCATTTTGATCCTTCTGATCACCCTAACCCATTTTGATCTTTGTAATCATCCCAAGCCATTTGGATTCTTCTGATCACCCCAACCCATTTTGATCCTTCTGATCACCCTAACTCATTCTGATCCTTCTGATCACTATAACCTATTTTGATCCTTCTGATCACCCTAACCCATTTCGATCCTTCTGATCACCTAACAGATTTTGATCCTTCTGATCACCTGAC